TACGGTCCAGCAACCGATCTACGAGTTTTCGCGGCATCCCCGTGATGCGCAGATTGCGGGTGTCGAGCCAGACTTTCTGTCCAGCTACGATGGTCGGTAGCTCTCGAACGTGTTTGTCAAAGTGCTCCTTCATCCGTTCGGCCGCCAGACCCAGTGCCGCAGTTGCGTCCTCCCGTGCCTTTCGTAGTTCCTCTCGCCGTTCGTCCGCCGCTGGTACTTCCGTGTCGAGAACCGGAATGTGAAACTCCGGGTCGTATCCGTACATCAGGAAGAAGGGCGAGTACCCAGTGGCCGAGTGAACCCGTGAGTTAAAGGCAAACTCCGCAATTGGTAGCCAGTGGACCCAATCGTCCCGTCGCAGAGAACAGAACATGCGGAGGTAGGCTTCCAGCTCCTGGTTCCAGCGTTCGGACTGACCGTCGGTCTGAGGGTGGTATGCCGTCGATAAGGTGCTCTCGATGCCGAGGCCCTTAAAGACCGCGCGGAACAACTTGCTTGAGAACTGCGGTCCTCGGTCTGAGATGATCTTTCGCGGAACGCCGTGCAGGTGTACATGATCGTGGATGAAGTTCCAAGCAGCTCCTTCAGTGTCGACCTCCTCGTCTGTTGCAGCGAAGTGTACCATCTTGCTGTGCCGGTCCGCCATAACCTGAATGGCGTCGTACTCGACTCCGGCTACCGTGACCTTGGGAAGTCCAACGATGAAGTCCGTCGTCATGATGCGCATCGGACCCTCCGGGATTTCGTTCGGCTGCAGCGGTCCATAGGGTTTCGTGCGCGACGTCTTCCCTTGATGGCAAGTGTCACAAGTCCGTACGTAGTCCTTCACGAATTGAGCCATACCGTACCAGTGATAGTTGCGCGACAGCAGCTCGACCGTCTTCCAAACTCCAGGATGTCCTGCCAGAGGAGAGTCGTGGTGAAGCCGTACCAGCTCGGTCCGCAGCTCCTGATCATTCGGAATGTAGATCTTGCCTCGATACTGGAGGAGATCCTGTTCGATGTTCCAATCGACCAGGTCGTTTCGCAGTGCTGCAGGACCAAGCTTCTTCACATGCTTCAGGGCTTCCACGACCGCAGGTTCGAAGTTCTGACACTCCTGGATGCACTTCAGGAGAGCCTTGTCCGGTACGACCGCAAGGTGTCCTCGTTGACTCGCCAGGATACGGAACTGTTCGGAACAGAGCACCGTTCTAGCCAGGTTGTCTTCACCATCACCGTGCTGTTAGTCCGGTCGTCTCGACAGCGCGTCCGCGCGTCCGTTAGAGACACCAGGCTTGTGGGTGATGATGAAGTCGAACCGCGATAGATACAGGGCCCATCGCGCCTGTCTGCGAGTGAGGTTCTGCGCCGTCCTCCAGTACTCGAGGTTCTTGTGGTCCGACTCAATCTCGAACTGGGAGGGGAGACCTTCGAGGTGGTGACGCCACGCTTGCAGGGCACGGATGATCGCGAGCATCTCCTTGTCATAGATCTCGTAGTTCCGTTCAGCATCGTTCATGGACTCGGAGTGGTACGCGATCGGGTGAAACTTTCCATCGTCGCCCTCTTGGGACAGGACCGCACCGGTGGCGTACCCGGAGGCGTCGACCTCAACTCGCGTTTTCCGTTCCGGGTCATAGATGCAGAGGACCGGACTTTCACAGAACCGTCGTTTGATCTCGTCGAACGCGCGTTGCTCTTCCTCGCCCCACTGCCAGGGGTTATTGCCCGTAAGTCGGTCCAGCGGTTTGCAGATGGCACTGAAGTCGTGGATGAATCGTCGGTAGAAGTTGGCAAAGCCACGGAACTTCCGTACGTCCGAAGCGTTCTGAGGAGTTGGCCAGTCTGCAATTCCCTTGACTTTGACCGGGTCCATGCCCACGCGTCCTTCGGAGAAGATCATGCCCAGATACTCGATCTGTGACTGTTCGAACCGACATTTCTCCGGCTTTAGGAAGAGGTCATT